TGTGCTTTGAATTCAGTTTGCTCTGCTAATTAGCGCACTAATTAGTGTTCATATTAAGTGGCAACTCAAGGAAGCTTTGAATATGTGTTGCTCAAGTAGTGTTTCCAGCATGGTTTGGCAAAAATGCCCCCCCCCCCTACATCTCGGATAATATAATATACATTGTACTGAGGTTCTATGTCTTGCCATTAGTAGACTGCTTGACCTTGAGTCTCTAGTAAGAGGCAAAATGAAGACTGAGATTAAACTGAGTGTTAGAAGTACAACTAGTTTACATTAGTTGTTGTACTTGTCCATAATGTTCTGGTCTACGAAGTACTGGCCCACGACGAACTGGTCCACGAAGTAATCTGCAAAGGGCTATGTCTTTTCACGAACTCGTGATGCATCTCCGTTACACTTCCTCCCTTAGAGGGGTCGTTGCTCTTGTAGCTGGAAGTGTGTCAATGTAGTGTCGAATTAGTTCCGTCACTTGTTTCAAATTGGGCAACGGTTCCATGACGAACCAAGTGACCTGTCAAGCCACTTGACTTTAAGCTGACGAACACCCTTGACACGGCGGTGGTTAACAATCGAGTGGACGAGGTGTTATTCGGAGCAGTTAAAACAGGTTGGACATCGGTAGATCGCGTTGGATCATCATCACCTGTGTAGGTTCGATGTCGTGACACATGATATCCAGGATGTAAACGATGTCCTGGTTGGAGTGCAAGCTCGTACGTGTCCGGTCCGGTCAGTTTGAGTATTTTGTACGGGTAAATGAAGCGAGGAGCGAACTTCCGCTTGCCTTCGGTACCGAGATGTGCCAGATCGAGGTCCTTGGTGTTTAGTAGCACTGAATAACCAACCTTAAAGTGAACATCGGGACGATTACGGTCATAGGCATCGTGCCAGCGTAGTTATGCAGTAGCCATTGCGTCTTGAGCCTCCGCTAAGATTGCTTGCTGGTTGACCACGAACTTCAACGTTGTCGAGCCCCGCGTTGACGAAGTCACGCAACCCGTCACTGATCGTGGTTGATAGCCTAAGTCGACAACAAATGGCGACATTCCAATTGAAGTATGCACTCGAGAATTATAGGCGAATTCACCGAGAGCAAGTAGTGAGTCCCAATTGTTGTGATGAGGTAAGATAAAATGTCGAATATAATCGTTGACGAACTCGATTGTTACTTCAGATTGCCGTCGGTGGACGGACGAAAAGCGGTACTCAACTGCAACTTAATGCCCTGGAGCTTCATAATCCCCTTCCAAAGCCGCGAAGTAAATTTTGTGTCGCGATCCGATACAATAGTCGTTGGTAAACCGTGTAAGCGTTGAAACTTGTCCCGAAATAAGAGAGCGGTATCCGCCGCCGTGGCATCCGTCCACGTCGCCACGAAATGGCCGCGCTTTGTGAGTCAATCTACAATTACCATCACCGTGTCGTACGCAGGCGTAGTCATTGGCGCCTGGGTCATAAACCATGCTGATGTCGGTCCAGCGTTGGTCAGGAATCTCCAAAGGGTGAAGCAGACCCGCAGGTTTGCCGCGTACGTATTTGTTACGCTGACAGGGTTCACAGAAGCTCAAGTGTCGTTGTACCGACTCTGCCATACCCCTCCAATAGTACTTCTCAAGCAAAAAGAGAAGAGTCTTGGCTTGTCCTGGGCGACTACGCGCAGGAGCGCCGTGCTCTTCA